AAATAGCATACACCATAAATATTTTAATTTTCTTAATTTTTAAAACCGAAAAGTAAACTATTTATATATAAATCTTAAGAGCCATAAATAAAAAAATTCGAATTTATTCCTCTTAATGTGTTATTTAATAAAGGAAAAATAGTATTTTAGAAAATATTTTAATTATCAACCCTTTTGTCTTAGTTTGAATAAATTTTATAAAATTAATATTGCTATTTTATTTAGTTATTTTTATTTAAAAATAAAGTATTTGAATTTAATTCTATTGATAATGGATTTTCAGTATTGTATATTAAATCATTTTATATAGGAAAATAGTTTAAATTTATATTTACTTTATTTGATTTTTAATTATTTATATTTGTAATCATTTTTAAATTTAATGTTTTTTTTTTATTTAAAAGAAATTATAAGCATATATATATATATATATATATATATATATTATATTATTATACATGTATTAATTATTAATATTTATTATAAAAAATTTAAATATTCATAAATTTCTTTTTAAATAATAAAAAAAAACGCATTTTTTCAATATTATTTTTTATTTATTTTAATAAAAATAAAAAAAAATTAATAGTTATATACAAATATTTTTTTAAAATAAACCTATATTATAATAAATTTAATTTTTTTTTTTATTATAATATTTACTTTTATTTTAATAAAATCATCAAACTAATATTTAATCATATTTAAAATAAAAAAAAGTGACTTAAACATTTAAATTATCATTTTTTCCTATTTAAATAAATAATATTAATGATATCATATTATTGGCTTTATTTATATTCATAAATTATCATAATTTATTAAAGTTAATTAAATTATTTACATAATATTCATATATTTATTTAAAATAAATTAACTTTAGATCTCTATAAAGCTTATAAATTTCTTAATAATAAAAAAATAACCTTTCATATTAGCTATATTGCTACTATAAATTCTAAAAAATATTACAAAAAACTTATAAAATTCTCTATAATTAATTAGATTTCCTAGTTTTTATCTTATTTATATTATAAAAGTTAATTATTCACTAAAAATGATTATAAAAGTAAACATTTTATAATTTAAAATTAATTAATTTTTTAAAAATTTTGATTTAAATCTTTAATAATAAAATAGCTAGTGTAAATTTTATATTTAATGTTAATATAGATTAAATTTTTTAATGATTTAAAAAAAATAGAATTATATATGCAAAAATATTATAAATTTAAGTTCTTTTGTAAATAAATAATATATTTTAGATGTTGATAATCTTGTTTTAATTCTAATATAATTTTTACTAATAAAAAAATAGCTAAATTTAAATAAGTAACATGTAATTAAATATAATAAATTTTAATACTAATTTATTGGTTCTTAAAATATGTTAATTATATTATGAAATAAAAGATAAGCCATATTAGATATTAATAATTTTCTCTATAAATTAAATAAGCATAAAAAAATATATAAATATTTATACATAAAGTCATATATGTAAATATTTTAAATATTTTTTATTTATATAATATCTTTTATTTATATGATTGTTCATTTTTTTTATGCTTTTATAAATCATATCAATTATATTATATTATAAATTTATTTATATTAATAATGAATAACTTAATTTTCTATTAAAAAATTAAATTTAAAAGATGATTTTTATTTAAATTATTATTCTTTTTTTCATTATACAAAAAAAAAAAATTCATTTAATTAAATTAAATAATATTTATGTAATAAAATATAAATTCTTGAATCAATAAACATATTTCTAAAATTTTAAAATATTATATTTAATTATTTACTCATCGAATGAAAAAATTAAAAAAATATTAGTCTATAATAAGAAAATTAAATATATATAAAAAAATAGGGCTAAAAAAAAAATATATAAAAAAAAAATTTACCTTAAATACTAAATAATTACTTAAAAAAATTATATTTAATGACAAAATTAAAAAAAAATATATATAAATTTTATTAATTTAAATTTAATCAAGTTTAATTTTATTATATAATGTTACATTTAAATTTAAATAATAGTTTTATTTATTTAATAAATAATATAATATATATATATATTTATATATATATATATAAATATATATAGATTATATTTTCATATATATTATTATTATTTTTTTATAAATAAAAATATTAATATTAATGGAAAAAAAAATTATTTTATCAATACGTATAAAACCTTAGACAAATAATTAAATTTATGATAAAAATTAAAAGCAGATAATTTTAAATAATTTAAAATATGTAAATATCTTTTAAGAAAAATAATAAGTTGAATAAGATGTAGAATTTTCACAAAAATAATTTTCATAAAAAAAACTTTCAAAAAGTATAATAAGTTAATCATCCATCTCATCTTTTTCAAATACATATAAAAAAGTATAATAACAATTAATAAATGAAAAAGTTAATGTATATGTATCTAAAATAACTAAAAATAACTTAAACCCTTAGCTTTTATTATATAATAAAAATGGAATATAATAAGATTTATTGAATATATATATGAAAAGCGATAAATAAATTGAAATTTAGAAAAATATAGTATTACCTATATCTAAAATATATTAATATGACGTTGCTTTTTCATAAGAAACAACCTAAGAAGTTTTATATTAATAACTTTTCTAAAAAAAGTAGTTTCAGCATTAAATGGTATGAATTCTACTTTATTTATATTAGGAACATAATAGTATAAATATATTTATATCTATATATTTATATATATATTATATATATATATATATATATATATATATATATATATATATATATATCACATTTAAATAGTTCTGGAAGAAATTATACATTATTAGGATAAATTAATCCTTTAAATAATAAAATAATAAATAAAGGATTAAGTGTTGTTACTTGTGAAGAATTACTTAATTTAATTTAGCTTTCTAAATAATACATAAGATCAAGAAAAGCCATCTAAAATGGAATTTTTTACGATCTTTCTTTATAAATATATTGTGTTAATTAAAATAATACATTTGATTTATTGGCTAATAAAGAAGATTAATAATAATAATAATATAATACAAAAATAATTACAAATATAGACGAATATATTAGATATTATAAATAAGCATAAAATAGATTAAAAATGTTAAGAAATTAATATAAAGAATAAAACTTTATTTAAAATACTTCTTTATTTATTAGATTAATAATATTTAAGTATGATAAAAAAATATAAAAAAATAAAATAAAATATATAATAATATATAATTATATCATATATATAAAAATATAAAATTATATATAGAAATAATATATAGTTTAGTAATGTTAATTTTATATAATTACAAAATTTTAATTTATAAAAGAATAATCTTACTTAAATATTTACTTATTTAAACTAAACTGAAAAATCTTAGAATAGATAATAAAAAAGGGTTTTTTATCAAGATTAAACTATTTAAAAAATAAGTGAATGTTTTAGTTCTAGATATAATCATTATGCTGTATTACTAGGTACATTAAATTCAGTATTTAGTTCTTAATTAGAAGAATAATTATTAGAAGTAAAAAAATATATATATATATATAATATATTTAAAAAAATAAATATATATATTTATATATATTTTATAGTAAATATCATAAATGAGAGAATGTCAATAATAAATAGAACATATAGATCTTATTTAATAATTATAAAAATTTAAAAATTATAATTAAAAATAATAAAAAGTATAAAATAAAATGATAATTTATCAGATATAAACTTTTAAAATTTAAACGAAATATTATAAAATATATATAAAAGTAAAGAATTTATTGAAAAAATGCCTGAAACATAAAAAATGGAATGGATTGAAAATTAATTAGATAAAGTTTAATAATTTTAAGATAAAATAAATCTATTAAAAAAACCATAAAATGAAGATTATTAGAAATAAATAATTGAAGTAAAGCTCTTTTTGAACTAATTAAAAATAAATAAATTAATAATTAAAATAATGAAAGCTCATAACCATCAGATGAATTAAATATATAAGTCAAAAATTAATTAGAAGATATGAAAAAAATATATTATATTAATAAAAAAATTTGGTTAATGATAATAATTTATATCTATAAAATTAAATTAAAAATCAAAATAATAAATATTTGATAAAAAGCGCATTAAATATTGAAAATTAATAAAATTTTGAAAATTCAGAAATTTCATAAAAATAAAAAATAATGTATTTTTTTTAATATAAATAAATAATAAATTTATTAAATAAATAAATTAAGAAATAATTTGAAATAAGATATTCAAAATAATTTAAATGAATAAAATAAACTATAATAAGAAAATTAAAAAGAAAGATAGAAAGTAAATTTAATAAAAAAATTAAAACATAAATAAATAAAAAAAAATATATATAATATTAAAAACATATAATATAAAATTAAAAATATTTATAAATTTATTAATATATATATATATATGTATATATATATATATATATAAATATATTAATTTTTAAATATTTAAATATATATATTATAGTAAAAAAGATAAATTTAATTACTCTAATAATCTTTAAGTTATTTTAATAATGAAATAAGAAAAATTACAAATAAAAAAATGCAATATTAATTTATATAATGATAGAAATAATATATATAAATTTAAAAATAATTATAATACTATTATTTTAAAAATATTCATATAAATATATCTTTTACATATTTTATATTTAAAATAAAACTAAAATATATAAAAAAATAAATAATTTTTTTTCATTTCTAAGACACAACAGAATAAAGTAAAGTTTAAATTTATATTTAATTCTTAATTATCTAACTTTTAACATTACTAACTTTATTTTTCTTATCATTTATTTTCTCTTCAATTTCTGAAATCTAATCAATAAGTGGTTAAAGATACTCTTCTGTAATTTTTAATTCATTTTACATTTTTTCCTTTGATCCTTTATATTATTTTGTCCAATAATCTAATTCATTATTCATACTTTCTATATCATCTGAAATAAATTCAAGTGATTTACCCAAAGGATTTGCGTTTTTTGAAATTTCCTAAACCATTTATAATAAAGCTTAAATGTCATTTTAATTATTACTACTACTATTATTATTAGTAGTATTATTATTACTATTATTAGCATTATTATTATTAATAGTAGTATTTTCATTTTTTTTTTGCCTTTTCTTAATTACATTTTAATTTAATTACCTTAAACATCTTCTCCTTCTTGTTAATTTGCATTTTAATTCATGTTTTGATTTTTTCCGGTTTAATTTAATCCATCATTTAAGGCTTCTTATGTAAATTTAGAGTGTCCTTTTCCACTTAAATTGATGTTCTTATTAGTATTTCCTTAATTATTTATACCTTCATTTTCTTCTTCATTTGCGTTATTATTGGTCCCTTCTGCTATTACACCTGAAGTTCCTTTACCTTTATGTGTATTTTCCACTACTTTGGAGTTATCTTAGACTTTTGGAGGAGCTCGCATAGAACTAGTAGGTCTTTATTAAGCTACTTTAGTCTATTATTATTAAATTTAAGGAGCTTCTTTTTTTTATTATTATTAAATAGGAGGTGCTTCGATTTCTACTGTAGATTTTTTTTAAAGAGGTTATTTTTTTTCTTCTTATTTTTTTTCTTCTTATTTTTTCTCTTCTATTTTTTTTTTTATTCAACTTTTATTAAGGCTTTTCCTATACTTTTTCAGCCGGTTTTTCCTATTATTTTCAGCAGGCTTCTCCTATGTTTTTTCCTAAGCACTTCCTTCTTTTTACGAATATTTAGCCAATAATTTTTTTATAATTTTAGGTCCATTTTTGTTTATTTCGGGTGTAGTAGCCGATCTATGTAACTCTATAAGAAAGATATTAGTATTTTCAGGTTCTAAACCAGCAACAATTTTATTTGGTTTCGCTGGTAATTCTTATTTTATAGCATATTGCGTTAGATCTATTATTTTCTTTAAAAATGTTATCTTTTAATCACGGTTTTGGTAAAATTAAGAGTTTTTTTCTTCATCAGTGTATAAACCTTCACCAAATCCTGTAGCATCAGTAGTAGCCATTACAATGTCAAATAAATATTAAAAGGGAGGCTTTTGTAGAAGCTTATCACGCATTTTAGGTTTTTAAAATAATCCCTCAAATGCTTTTATTGTTGGTTCCCAAAAATTTTCTTCTGCCATTATTGTTTTTTTAATTTTTTTATTTTTTTCTTCTTTGATTTAAATATTTTGAAATTTTTTTATATATTTTTAATTTTTATGAATATAATTTTTTTGTTTTGTTTAATAAATAATATATAACTTAAAAATTTTTATTAGTAATATTTATTTTATTTAATTAAATAAAATTTCTTAAAGATAAATATATATTTTATATTTGAAAAATATTATATATTATATTTGAAAAATATTATATATTATATGTTTTAAAAAGTGAAACTAAAATTTATTGTTTTATTTTTTTTTAGAAATAAAAATATATATATATATATAATTAATATTATTTTTTTTTTAAAATAAAATTATATTATATTTAATTATATAATTATTTTATTTTATTTTTTTATAGAATTTCTTAATTATATTTTATTTATTAAATAAATTATTTTATATATATAAAAATAATTACTTTAATATTTATTTATTTTTATAATATATACAAATATTTCTTATATCTTATTTAATATTCATGATCTTTTTATAAAATAATTTTTTTTTATAATTTATAGTTAAATTATAATAATTAAATTTATATATTATAAAAGTTTAGAACATTTATTATATGCCTATTTTTTTATTATGATATTTATAAATGTCATAATTCTATAATTTTATAATATATTATATTATAATTTTATTGTTTAATTATTATAAATATACAATTAATTATCTCTATTTATTTTATTTTAAATATTGTTGGTTATTATTATGTCTTTATTTGACAAATATAGTATTCCTTTTGTTTATTTTATATATTTAAATAATCGCTTTCAAATATAATTAATAAAGATTATTAATTATTAAGGTTTAAATAATATATTTTTTTATTTATTTTTAACTATAATTGATATTTTAATTATATAGAAAAAATTTTCATTCAAATTTGGTATACAGATAAATTTTATAAATAATTAAGGTTATAACTATTATTAATGTCATTAAAATTCTAAAAATTTGATATTGTTTTGCTGAAATTTTATTATTTTATTTCATTTTTATTATTAGCATAATGTCTATTATAATCATTTATAGATGATTATTATTAACTGTTTTATTACTGTTAAGAATAAGTTTTTTAAAAAGATAGTTCCTTTTCAATTTAAGAAGGAGCATAAAGATACCTCCTTCTCTAAATATTTTCCTTTCTTTTCTTAAATATTTAAAAAGAAAATTACTACTACTCTTCACACTATACTTTTTATAACTTTATTAATTTATAATTATATTAATTTTCATATGAAGGTTTGTAATTATTTTATATGTTCTTTTTAATTTATAGATAATTTAATTGATTATTAATATGATTATATTCATATTTATTTTAATAAAGACTGTCAATGTGCATTAAAATAAACTAAATTACTTTTTAATTAAATATATATTTTGGTGTTTTTTATTTTAATAGAAAAAAAAGTAATAAAAATATAAGATATAAAAATTAATAGTTAGATATTTATATAATTAAATATATAAAAATTTATATATTTATATATTTATATATATATATATTTATATATATAATTTTATATATATATATTATTATTAATATAGAAAAAATATTATCAGGATTAATAATATATAATCATAAAAGATTTTCTGAATTATATATTTATATTTATTTTATACAGTATATTAATAAATAACAATTATTTAAAAGTTATTAATATTTTAAAATTAATATTAAATATTATATATTTTTACATTTTTATTTATAGTAAATAATATTAATTAATTTTTTATTTTTTATTATAATATAAACATTAAATCATTTGATAAATATATATATTGCTATATTGCATTTTATTTTAATATATATTTTTAATATATTATTTTCTAAATCTAATTAATGTAGCATATATTTATCAAAATAAATATTTATATAGAATTTAACTATATTGTTAATATTAAAACAATTTGATATCTTTTTCTTTTTTGGTAAGAATTGGCCTAATTATTACTTATATATATCATTTTTTTTCTTTTTTAATATATATTCTTTATTTATTATAGAAAAAAAAGTATATTATTTCGAAACATGTATATGCCCTACTTATTTTTTATTATAGTCTAGTATATTTAACTAATAATAATACCAGTAACATAAATTTAATTTAAGAAAGTATTCATTAAAACATTATAACTTTATAATTAAAATTACAAAGTTGCATTGCATTTACTAATAATTTTTTACCTTAATAATAATTTTTTTTCGCAATATAAGGTTGATAATAACATTAAGAAAATAAAAATATATCGAATAATTTATATAATAAAAACTATATATTAAAAATAAGAAATTTCAAAAAAACTATCTAAATAATATGAATAAGAATAAAGATAAAAAAAACAATTGAATTTTATTAGTATATTAAATAAAATAATTAAATTAAATAAACAAAAGTAATAACATTTATTCATAGATAATTTAATAAACATAAAAAAATTAATAATCATAAAAATTTATATGAAATTACAATAAATATTAATAATGAAATTTCGAAATAAAGTAATAATATATACAATAATAATCTTAATTTTTTTTTTATAAAAATAAATCTATAAATAATAATCATATTCATTGAAGCTAAAAATTTCACCAAAATTATCAAAGGTGCACTGCTAAAGAGTTTTAAAACAAGGAAACAGTAAAATTTTAATATATTAAAATATTATTTTCGGAAATAAAAGAAAAAAAATATATATATTTTATAAAATTAAAAAAATAGTTTTTTATATAATTTTAAAAAAATATCTTTTATAAAAAATTTGAATTAAAATTTTATAATGAAATTTTTTTTTTAATCTATTTAAATTATTTATTTTGATGTGAAAATAATTTTTTAATTAATTAAATAAATATATTTAATAAATAAATAACGCTAATATTCCTAATATCTCAATAAAAAAATTATTTAATATTATATTAAACAAGAATTACAATATAAGTAAAGTCTATATTTAAAAATAATATATAAGAGAAAGAAAAGTGAGAGAAGATAAATTATTTAATTTTGTACAGACAATATGAAAATAATTTTAGTTTAATATATATATATATAATATAATAAATATTGCTAGTATATATATTATATATATTTATATATATATATAATATTTTTATTTATAAATATAATTATATGTATTTTTTATAAATTTATACAAACATATGTTATATAATAAAAAAATACAATTAAAAAATATTAATTTTAATCTATTATAATATATAATTTTATAAAATTTGTTTATTTTTAATTAAAAAACCATAATTTATATTTTAAATTTAACAATTAATTTCAAATAATAAAATATGATTGAATAATTATAAATAAATAAATAATAATAGGATAATTCTTAGGTTATGATATAAAATCAAAAAAATATAGTAGAAAACTATTTTTTGAAATCAAACAATCAAACTTTTGAATATTTTTAATGTCTTCATATTACATCTAATTTTTATTAAGGATATTAATTTTGTATAAATTGTGGTGCTCGTTTATATAAAGTATATAATATTAATATATATTATTTATTGCTTATTTTTTTAATTAGAATGGGTAAATTTATGGGCTTAAAACATAAAAGTTAAATTATAAAATAAGGTTTTCTTCATAATAATATTTTAATAATTAATTTTAAAAATACTTAAATCAAAATATAAGCTTAGATTAAAACCAAAAATATTTAAAAGTAATAATAATTAAAACCAAACATAAAAATACTATTAATAAATAAATAAAAAGTCAAGGTAATCAATAATAACATTTTTAGAGCGCCTTTAAGATTCATTTAAGCTATCGTAAAAAGTATTATTTTTAAGTATATATTATTTAGACTATCTTATAAGTGAAAATAAACCAAAAGACAATAAATTAATATATTTCTAAGCTGATTAACATTTATACTTATTTGCGTCTGTATGTATAATGTTGGCAGCGAAAAGCATTGAGCTCGAATCTAAAATTCCCTATATAAGCTAATTAAAAAAAAATGCTAGTTTATACTAATATACAAAAGATAACATTAGAAAAGCAGAGATTTAAGTAATTGAGACCTTAAAGTTTAATATGTAGCATTCAACACTTTATGATTTATTAGAATTTATGCTATCTTAAGGTATAGTATTTAACGATGACTAAATTTTAGAAAGCTAAAATTAAGAAAAAGAAAATAACAAAAACTAAACAAATATAAAAGATGATATAGGAATTATACCAACAGAATTATAATAATTTAATATAGTATAAAATATTGAATAAAATATATTTTAACTAGGATTTTAATTATTAAAAGGTTTTATTTTTTTATTTAATTATATTTAAAAAATTTTAAAGATTAAAATTATTATGATTATGATATATTTAGTTTAGGTATTAGTTGTGTTTTTGATTTAAGAAAAAAAAGTAATATAAAAAATACTTAAAGAATAGAGATTTTTTAAATTTTAAATATTGAAAATAGTTCTAAAATATAAAATTGTATTGAATATGTCTAAAAATTAAACTAATAAGATAATAATATAATCATTACTGATAATAATATACAATTTTTAGATGATCATACTAAATTTTTTAATTTAAAGTAAATTAAAAGTACTAAAAGCAATTTAATTATAAAAAAATAAATTTAATGTAAAAAAATATAAATTATTATAAATATTTGTTTGAATTTTTATAAAAAAAGCTTAAAATGATATATATTTTAATAAAACTAAAGAAAATATAATTAGTAATGATAAAATCAAAAAATAAATTGGATATTTAAATATAAAGGAAAGTTAAAATTAAAAAATTAATAATTTTAATAAAAATATTGTTAAATAAAATTTTACAAAAAATATATAATTTTAATCTATATAAAATAATGTAAATTCTAATTATAATTTATCTTAAATAATAAAAACTAACTAATAAAAGTTAGAATTTTAATAAAAAAACAACATGTTTATCAATAATAACTAATTATAAAAAAATGAACCAAATAAAATAAATTCTAATTTCTTTAAAGATAATAGTTTAAATAAACAATCTAATAACTTTTTAGTTAAAAAAATTAAGTAATATAGTTATAATTATCTTAAATAATAGTGATTTGATAATAAATTTATTCTATTTTTATTAACAAAAATAATAAACACATATAGAAATTTATCATCAAATAAAATAAAAATTTTATTATTAAATATTATTATATCTAATTTATTTATTTATATTAATTAATAACAAATAACACAATAAAAAAAATATATATTAATTATATTAAAAAAATATATAAAAAATTTTTTATTATAATTTTATTGATTAAATAATTAAAAATATATATTATAATTATTTAGATAAAAATAGTTAATAAAAAGAAAAACAAGAATGGTCATTTTTTAATTAAATATAAATTAAATAATAGTATCATCATTAACATTAAATATGCTTTTGACATAACGAAATTCTATTATTATAGTTTTTTAAATTAATTGTTTTATTAGCTTTGATGTTAATTCATGTTACTTTTTATGCTTAAAAAAATAAATAATTTACATTTTCAAGATTTTTCTCAGTGTTTTTATTTTTTTAAATATTACAAAAATTGTTATAAGTAAATTAAGATTTTTAAATTAAAATTCTTTTAAATATAATATCATATACATTTTTAATATTTGGATTATTAAAAATTAAGTATTTGATAATGATAACCTTATTAGCGTTTAATTACCTTCTATGATAATATTAATAGGATTTTTACAGTATTTATACTTTTTTTTTAAATTATTAGATAATTAGTATGCTAATAAACTAACTTTCATTTATTTTTGTTTGTAAGCTTTTTCTATATTTTCTGCATCTTTTAGAAATCTAACATCTAAAATGAGTTTATTTTTAGTTATTATAGGAATTTCATTAATATTGATTAGTAATTTCGTAGAATTTTTTAGCATATTTAAAAATTAAATAGATAATTAAATTTATAATGTAAGTAAAAATAACATTTACCTTTTCGGAATATTTATTTTATATTTTGGTGTTTTAAAACATTTTGAATTTTACGGAAATAAATTAAAAGAAAAAAATGATTGAATAAATAATATTAAAGAAAATATAAAATTATTAGAAATAATTTTTATTAAATTTCTGTGTTTTTAAAATTATTTTATATTAAAACTTTAAAAATAATATATAAATACAATATTATACAAAAAAGAAATTTAATTAATAAATATATAATTTATATTTTTATTTAAATATAAAAAAAATATTATATATCATATAAATTAATTTAATTTATTATTATATAGTTTTAAAAATTTTATCATTTTAATTATTAAAAACAAAATCTAATAAATAAAAAAATTAATTAAATAATAATTATAAAATATTTATATTAAATTTTCATATTAAAAAGTATATTATAATATATTTAAATATAAATTTAATTATTCTATATATAAAATAATAATTCGTACAAATATATACTTAAAATAAAAAAAAAAAATTATTTTATTAAATAAAATTATTTAAAAACTAAGTTATAAAAAAGAATATTATAAGATTTTAACTTAATATAACAACAAAAATATATAACAATTTAATGAGATTGTTTAATAAAATTAATATATTTATAAATTATAGCTTCTAAAATAATTTTAAAATAAATTATATATATAAAAATTAAAAAAAAAAAAAAATATATGTAATAAATAAAATATATAAATAAGAAAGATAAATAATAAATAAACTAATTTTAAAAAAAAAAAAACAATGATAAGAAAATTAATATTATAATTTTTAAAATAATATAAATATAAAGATAAATAAAGATAAAAAAGATAAATAAAGATAAATATATATATATATATATGTATATATATATATATATTAATTTAATATATTTATAATATATTATTATTTCTTTAAGTTTTATATATAAATAAGAAATAAATATTTTTTATTTTAATAAATTATTAATATTTGATAAATTTTTTTAAAAATAATTAATAAATAAATATATGTTATTATCTTTATAATTTATATAATAAAAACAATAAATATATTTTTTTTTAATATAAAATAATTATATCAAAATAAATTAATTTAATTAAAACTATTTTAGAATAATGAAATTAAATATTTTTTTTTTTTAATTTTAATTTTTTTAAATAAATAAATAAAAAAAGCAAGTTATAAATAAAATTCATTTTTTTATTAAAAATATCTTCTTTTTTTTTTGAGAAAACAAAATATTCTTTATATATAAATAAAAATATAAAGATAAATTTCCGATTTCTAAAAATTATATATATAAATTATAGCAATTAATTAATAATATATATATATATATATATAAATGATTAAAGATTACGATAATTTATTTAAAATAGTAATAATAGGCAATAGTGGTGTTGGAAAATCCTCTCTTTTATTAAGATTTAGTGATGATTAATTTAATGAAAATTATTTGGCAACAATAGGGGTAGATTTTCGTTTTAAAAAATTATAAATAGATGGTAAAAAAATAAAATTATAAATATGGGATACCGCTGGTTAAGAAAAATTCAGAACAATAACTTCCGCATATTATAAAGGAGCTGATGGAATAGTTATTGTATATGATGTAACTTCTCCAAATTCATTCTAGGATGTAGATAAATTTTGGATGAGTGAAATTGATAGTTATGTAGAAAAAGAAACTAATATTTTATTAATTGGAAACAAAAATGATTTGGAAAAAAAAGTACAAAATTAATAAGCTTAGGAATATGCGGAAAAGCATGGAATGCTTTTTAATGAAGTTTCAGCAAAAACTAATAATACAGTATATTAAGCATTTTTGAATTTAACAAGGGAAATTATGAATAAGAAAAATAATTTGAGTTATATTAGAAATAATGAAAGTTTTAATTAAAGTAATTAAAATTAATAATTGTAGTAAATATAAGATATTTAAATTTAAGAAGAAAAAAAATGTTGTATGTGATATTTTACTTTTTTTCATTTATTTTTTTTAAATTATTTTAAAAAATTAAGTTATTATTTTTACTTTTTTAAATTACATTAATATATATATATTAAATTGCTCTTATTGTTTTTTTATTTTTTTTGTTTTAAAAAAAAAAACTCAATAAACAAAAAAAATGGAAAATTGTTTTTTTTATTTTTTATATATAAAATAAAATATATATACAAAACATTAATTAAAATTTATTAGTTTTATAACATATGACGAAAATATTTAAATTTTCTTTGACTTTTTTTATATACATATAATTATTATTTTTAATTTAAGAAAAATTAAGTATATTTGTATAATAGAATTGAATTAATTTTTGTTTTGTTTTAAATTTGTAATAATATTATTATTTAATAAATAAAAATAATATAAATTAATTAATTCTGATAATTATTTTCATATTGTCGTTTTAAATTTTTTGTTTTTTTTTTCGAAAATTAGAAATTAATATTATATACGTATAGATAGTATTATTACTTTAATTTTCGTATATTAAATGCTTATTATTGGTAAGTCTACTTACTATTTTTAAAAAATATTATTAAATATAAAATAAAAACTAATCCCATTATAAATAATAACAAAAGTAAAATGAAACATATTTTTATCATATTCTCAAATAGAAGTAATGTATATATTTTTGATTTCTACATATTTTTATACTTAGATTTCTTAAAATTTGGCTTTTGTGCCACATTAATTTACCCTTAATTATTTTCTAAAATAGAACTATATAATAAGCACACCTTATTTAACTAAAATATAATTGAAAAATGTAAAGAAATATAAAAAGGTTACTATCTGCCTACCCTTTATTTAGGTTATGGTTACTTACAAGTATTATTTTCCTCCAAATATTAACACATTCATAATTAACTAAAATACAGTAGAGAATATATTGACTTAGGTGACTACGGGGAGTTAGGAATAGGTAAAAAAAATAAAAAAAATTATATATATATATATATATATATATATATATATATATATATATATATATATATATATATATAAAAGATATACCAGAGTTATCAGACTAAACCTTAATATAAAATGAAAAAGCATTAATAAATAAAAATAATATTTTGGTAATATTTCTTGGTTCCACAGCTTCTCGCAATGAACCATATATAATGTATTTAATATAAAAAAACTAAAATATAAAAAATAAAAAGGAATATAACAGCTGAAGCCTTAAAAGAAGGTTATAAAGTAGTTTTATATAATGATCGTTTATATAATAATTATGAAGAAAAAGGTAGAATATTTCCCCTAAAAGGATATTATTCTATGTTAAAAGATATAAATGACGTAGTGAATTATTTAAAAGAAAAATATTAAGACCATAATTTTTATGCTGTTGGACATTCTTTTGGAGCAAATATGTTAGTTAAATATTTAGGTGAATATAGAGATTCTTCTCCTTTCAAAGGAGCGGTTTCTGTGGCAAATCCATTTGATATTCAAAAAGCGAATTCTAAAATAAGTAAATATTTTGATGGGTATTTAGTCGAATGTAGAAAAAGTATTCTTTAAATGAGGATGAAATTGTTATAAAATCCCCCTTTACATTTAAATGTTGATATAAAAAAAGCATTATAAGCTTAAACTAGTTAAGAATTTGACCTTTTATTTTCAGCGAAATTACATGGGATTTTAACTGTAGAAGATTATTATAATAATATTTCTTGTGTGTAAAATTTAAAAGATATTAAAATTCCACTTTTGTGTATAAATTCAAGGGATGATCCTATTTTGCACCATTCCACAATACCGTTTGAAGAAGCTAAAAAAAATGAAAATATTATTCTTTTAGTTACTTAAACTGGAGGACATGTCGGATGGTTTGAGGGATTTTTAAAGCCCAGAAGATGGTATATTAAACCTACTTTACAATTTATAAGTGCTATTAATGATTCTAATAATAATTATAAATGAGAAATTTTAACAATTAATAATTGTTCTTAAAAAATATTACTTTTATATATAATATTGATTTTATTTTTTAAATAAATATTTATAATTATTTACTAAAAAAAATTTCAATTTTTTCAAAACATATAATATATATATAAATACATTTAAATTTTTTTTTTTTTTTTTTTTTTAAAAAAAAAAAAAATATTAATTTTTTAAAAAATATTACAAAAAACCTTTTTTTTTAAAAAAAATAAAATAAAAAATAGATAAAAAAAATAATAATAATTCATAATAAAATCAATATAAATTTTTATCTACTTCCTTAGGCATAGGAAGCATTTAAACATCCAATTCATTTTCAACTTTTATCAAATTATCTTTATCATCATCAGTAATAAAATTAATTGCTAATCCCAAATGCCCATATCTACCTGATCTTCCAATTCTATGTAAATAAGTTTCCGAATTTTTCGGAAAATCAAAGTTAATAACTACATTTACACTTTAAACATCAATTCCTCTAGTAAATAAATCTGAACTAACTAAAAATCTACCTTCTCCTTTTCTAAAATTATGAAAAACCTTATTTCTTTCACTTTATTCCATCTTTGCATGAATATAGAAACACGAATATCCTTATTCGGTAATTTTTTTTGCCAAAAGTTGAACTCTTTTGGTTGAATTACAAAATATTATTGCTTAATTAATCTATAGTTTTGCCGATAAATGATTTAAACATTATACCTTTTGTTTCTCTTCTAAATAAGCATAGTATTAAGTAACCCCTTTTAATGTAAGTTCATCCATTAAATTGACAGATTTACAATCTGGCATATGCTTGTCCTTAAATGCTTTCACAGAAATTGGAAAAGTGGCTGAAAATAACATTATTTGTCTTTCTTTGGGAAAAAAATCTAATATTTCTTCTATTATAGGCATAAAATCAACAGAAAGTAACTTATCAGCCTCATCTAATGTTAAAATACCACATTTACTAAAATCTGCTATGTTTTTTTTTGCCAAATCTAATACTCTTCCTGGTGTTGCTTTTTTTTTTATTTTACAATAAATATTTTATGTTTAATTTTTTTTAAAAAAAAATAATAATAAAAATTAATGTTAAAATTAGTTTTTTTTTTATTTACAAAAAAATAAAGAAAAAAAAAAAAAAGTTTATATATGTATATTTAATTTTTTTTTTTTTTTTAAAAAATTAATTTTTTTTACCAACAATAACATGTACTCTACATTACATATTTTATAAACGTAAAACATCCTCTTTGAATTAAGTACCACCGGTCGATACCATACAATTTATTTATAAATATTTTCCAAGTTCTTTTACTATAGAACTTACTTATAAGGCTAATTCTCTTGTAGGAACTAATATTAATGCTTATATATGATTTTTTTGGTTATCTATTTATTCTAAGATTGGAATTACAAATGCTGCAGTCTTCCCTGTTCCGTTTTTCGCTCTGGCGATTATATTTGCACCTATATATATATAATTTTTTTTTTTTCGATTTTTTTTTTTTTTTTTTTGATTGCCTGTAAGAGATATTGGGATGGTTTCTTCCTATATAGGAGAGGGTTTGTCATAACCTTTTTCTACTATTCCCATTAATAATTATTCTTTTAAACCGTAGTCTTCAAAGTCTGTACCTTTTGTGGCTGTTACATCCTTTTTTTGTTTTTTAGAGAATATGTTTATATATTTTTTATTTTTCTACAGTAGTTTTGGGTCGCGGGTCATATTAAATTGACTTTTATATTGGCTTTTAAGTCTGGTTATTTTTTTATTCTTCGTCCATTTTTAATTTTTGATTTTTTTTTTTTTTTTTTTAAGTTTTTGTTTTGTTTGAAATTTAAAAAGAATTTTATATATAAAAAAAAAAATCTTTTTTTGTTGTTGTATATTTATAATTTATTTTTAAAATAATTACTTAATTTTTTTCTATTACTTAAGTTTAAAAAAAAAAACAATAATTGATATACATAATATTTATTTTATTTTATTGTTTTACTAATTAATATTTTCAATAATAAAAAAAAAAAACATAATAATAATAAAAATTAAATTTATATTATTGTTTTAGAAAACAAACAAAAATAAACTTTCTAATTAATAAACAGTAAAAAAACAGTAAAACATAGAATTAAATATTTTAAAATAAAATTTAATTAATTACAAATTCAAATATATTTTTCTAATATCTAAACTAAACACATATAACTTATAGGCTTAGTAATATAATCATTAGCTCCACATTAAATGCTTTTATTATAATCGTCCTAGCAATTAAAAGCACTAGCCATAATAATAACACATTTTTTCCTATTATTAATAGATTAACTCTCAAAATCCCTAATCTATTCAACAGTTACATATCCATTCATTTATGGCATAACAATATCCATAAAGATCAAATCGATTTAATTTTACGAGAAAACTTAGACAGCCTAAAATCCATTATTGGATGTGAAAAAATTACATTATAATGGCTTTAGAGTGGCTTTTAGAGCAATTGTATTGAAATAATTATCATCTACAATCAGTATATTTTTAAATTTATTTTAAATAATATTTTCTATATTTATTAAAGAAATGGATTTATCTGGGACATTATTTTATTATATAAATAATTAGTTTTTTTCCTATAAATCATTTTTCTATATATTAATTACTTTCGGTTATTTATTTTTGCAAGATTATTCTTCTTATTCTTCTTCATATGCATAAAAACTCTATTTAATTTAACTGCCCAAATACGAAAAACTATTATTATTCCCGAAATCTAAATTCATAAAAATACAAAAACTAAACTTCGCCCCTTCATTTATATTTGACTTTAACTACATCTTTCCAGGACCCAATTATTAAACTAGCTTTTGACATAAAAAAAGACCGATACCTATTCCTTATTTATTACTCCCATTATGATGATCAAATGTCGAAAAAGGCTTAAAAAGCTTTTCCTATAAAAAAATTGGGATCCCGCACCCATTATCTTTCACTGAAATTTTTAAAATCCCGTTAGATTCGATAATTTTACATTTTATGTGTATATATCCGTTATTATTAGTGAATTTAATTGCATTTGAAATTAAGTTTATTAAAATTTATTTTAGTCTGTTTCTATCTGAATTGAGTTAAATTTATTTTTTATCTTTTATTGAAAAAATACTTAATTATATGTTTTTATCTTGACATTAATATAAAAACAAAATTTCGATTTCGTTAAATAATTCTTATAAACAAAAAGACTATTTATGAATTTTAAACTTATCATTATTAAATAACTACATATCTAGTATATCATTTATAAGACTAAGTAATAGTTAACAGTTAATATTAACCATTTAGAAATGTTATTTTAATATATTTATATTCTCTTCTAGCTAAGAATTCAAAGAAACAACCTAAATGAAGTTCAAAGGAGTTCTTAAATCATGTGAAATCGATGAAAGTGTCTAATCTTTGTGTTTTTGGACCTCTTTAAGTCTTTTATTTATGATAGTATTGCTTATATCATTAAAAATAACCACTATAGAATCTTTTCCTTCCCAGTTAATGCATACTATGGTTATATCAAAGTATATTTTTTAATCTATATCATAATATTCTAATAGATGAAATACTTTTTGATCTTAATAGAGTATTTCTTGGCCTTCATATTAGCTACTTGCCATTTAGAATAGTTTGTTTTTGAATAATCCGTTTATTATTTAATATAAATTTATTTTGTTTTTTTCTATTTTTTTTAAATATTCTTAGATTTTTTAAGGATTATTAGTTTAAGCTTATTTAAATTTTTAATTCATAAAAGGATAATTATATATAATTTATTAATCTAAATTATTTACATATATATTAGATGATATTACTAAATTATTGCTTTATTTTAATTATTTCTAGTCTTTATTTAAACAAACCTTTTATATCTAAGTTTTTTCTTTTTATGTAAAGGTTTTTTCTTTTTATGTAAAAGTTTTTTCTTTTTAAGTAAAAGTCCTTTCTTTTTATGTAAAAGTTCTTTCCTTTTATGTATAAGTTCTTTCCTTTTATGTAAAAGTTCTTTCTTTTTATGTAAAACTTCCTTCTTTTTAAACTACTTCATTTTTTCCAAACTTAAATATTAATTAAGAATTTGATAAATTATATAATTTTTAGCTCCCTGTTAATTCCTAATTTAATGTTTGTACTACTAGGATTTGATTCGGAAGGTGATTTTCGAAAAGTTTTTAATAACCTTCTAATTAATTTCTGTATATATATTCGGTATGATAAGTCATTTTATTGATTTTTTCTTGTTAATAGAAAATAATAAATAGGGAAAAAACTAAAAAAGTAGTCATGAGTATTTATACTAATTAATATTTATTATTATTAGAAAAAACTGATAAGGCAATGGAAGGAATACTTATTTTTAAAAATTTAAAATACCAATCAGGAAAACATATCGATTAAAATTATAAAAAAAGACAAAAATTGTATCCAAATATATTTTCTTTTTCAAGGTTTATTAATCGAATAAATATATATATAATTATTATATCATTAATTAATGATTATATTAAAAAAATTAATAATAACTAATATTTTTTTGTCCTTTTTATATACATTATACTAGAAAATATTAAGATATTCAATGAAATTCCAAGACAATAGTATTTTTAGTTAAATATTAGATAGATGTATAATAAAGTTATTATTTAGATAAATAATAAAAATAATATTTACATATATGTTGTTTTATCGCTATAGAATTTTCGTTCACATTTATAACTTTAGTTCTCATGATTATTTATGAATCCTAATGTTAAATAAGATAATTTGCATGGATTATTTTATATTAAGTTGCTTTTCATTTATATTTAATTTTTTCTTTTTTAAAATTTTTTTTTTTTTTTTCCTTATGATTTTTATATAATTAAATTTATAATTTATTACTTTTTTTGTTGTTGTATTTAAAAACAAAACAAAAAAATAGTATTCACAAAAAATTTTATAAACTTTTTTATTAATTATTATTATTTTAATCTATTTTTCTCTTTTATTTATATTTAAATAAAATAGATTAAAAAAATAAATCAAAAATATTAATTTTATTTATTTTTTAAATATATTATTATATTAATATATATTTATATAACAAAAAAATAGTTTCACAAAAAAACAATAAAACAAAATATTATTTAATTCCAATAATTAATTTTAAAAAAAAAAATTATAATGATTATTCGTCCTTAAACATGCAAATCAAAACACATCCAAAACGAAAATACTTAAGAATCCTAAATAATACATTAAACGATAATAAACTAAGCAAAAATAATATCGAGTCAACCATAAAAATCTCTACTCGAAAAAACTAAACCGAAATTCGTTGCGAAAAAATTCGATGCAATAAAAATGTTAGATACTTAAAAATTAGAAGATCAACCATTATAAAATGAAGTAAAAAAAAAAAATTAAATAACTAATTATCTATATAAATTTAAAAAATAAAGCTAAATACCATAAATAATCCTATAAACATTATTTAATAAGAAGAAAAAGAAAATATATAAGAAAATTTAATTTAAGAAAATACTAAAAGCAATCAATAAATACAATAAAGAAAATCATCTTTAAAATTCCACTAAATTACCGAAGATCTAAAAAAAGAAGAAGAATCCTAACCAATACTCACTTATACAAAAAATAAATTTAAATCTTCTTTCAAAAGACCTCAAACAGCTTATACCCATTCTAATATATTCGATGCCGCAAAAATATTCTAAAAATATTAGAATTAATAAGATCAAATATGTCCTTAATATAATCCAGATGGTACTATAAAATCTCATACATTAATCGGAAAAACCGATTGGTTTTTAAATTAACAGAATAAATAAGAATAAATTAATACTGAAAAGAATTCATAGATGATGTTCGAATAAATAGAAAATAACTGTTAAGACGAAAACCATAAAAAACATAAAAGGCATATCTAACAATAAGCCGATATAAACAAAAAATAAAACCAAAAGATGAAAATCAAAACATTTAGGAATTAAATCGACAAGAAGTTAACGACTGCATATAAAAAGCTATATAAAGAGTGTAAAAAAATAAGCAATTTTGTACTACATATAACTAAAATGAATTTAAAAAGCTAAAAAAAGGAGACTAACTATATCTTAGTAAGGAAGAACGAATAATGTAAAAATTTAATGAATTATAAATGAAAACAGCTTCTTTAATAAAATTAAATTGCGAAAAAATTAAAAAAGAATTTAAAGACTCAATTATAATTTCAGGAGATAAATATAGGACTAAAGTTGAGTTTTTACATGCTTTACATAATATGGAATCTGATCAAATTAAATACGGAGATTAATATTGGTAGGTTTCTTTAAGAAAATGCTTAGAAGATAGAGAATCTTTGAAAGTTTATATTTAAAAAATGTAGGAGGGAAAAAAGGGAGAATTGTATAAAAGTACGAGGGTTTTGGAATAAATTAGAAGGCCTAAAAGTTCAGTTTTAAGAAGTGAAAAATAAAATGAAAAAATTTGCAAGTGTAAAGTTGTAGATAAAGCGTTTAAAGAAACTAAAAAAAAGATTTTTTTTGGAAAATTAAGAATTGGAAATGCTAGAGATAGTGGGGAAAAATATACTAAGGGAAGAAATTAGTAATTTAGAAAATGATAAATATAAAAAATTTGTAATGAAAAGAATATTAGGATAAGCAAAATAAATATAATAATCAGTAGAGGATGAGAATGTTTAAAAATAAAAAAATAATACAAAAGTTTTAGATTAGTTTA